CTCTTCAGCATCAGTGGTTGGTGGATACACTTGGATTATTGTGATGTTGAAAGGTGTGCCTTGGATTCATATTGAAATCATTCTACAGTGGACCCTCGACTTACAGACAACTCCACTTACAGATTAATTTAGGTTTGACTTGCAGACCGGAAAAAAAAAAACAAAATGGAACAAAAATGGCTGGTTACGAATTACCGTATTTTTCGCTCCATAAGACGCACCTTTCCATAAGACCCACCAATTTTTAGGAGAAGAAAACAGGAAAATATAATCTGTTTTCTTCGCTCCATAAGACGCACAGACTTTCCACCCACCCACCCCCCGTTTTGTGGGGGGAAAGTGCATCTTATGGTACGAAAAATATGGTAATAGGTTTTCAATGCATTGTAGGTCAATGGAGCCTCGACCTACAGACTTTTCGACCTGCAGCCACCGTTCCAAAATGAATCAATTCTGTAAGTCGAGGGTCCACTGTATCATTTTTGAGATTGTATCCCACTCTTTTGTTGACTATAAGGGCTACTCCATTTCTTCTATGGGATTCTTGCCCACAATAGGCTTTGTACCTGTCCCTTAATGGAGGTTAAGACTATAGAACACGTGTTCTCCACTTCCCAGCATTACGAGGTGGCATGTAAGAAGATCATCACCCCAGTAATATATATACTATTTTTCCTGGCCATTCAGAAAAATGTAGACTTCAGTTTCTTCTTTCTGACATAGACCCCAAAATCACTTACCAAACAGCCAGTTTTTGTATGGTGGAAATTCTCGGCCTCGGAAATTCATGGAAACTAAATGCCAGATTTTAAAAGGTCTTTTAATGCCAATTTTTATGAAGTTCAGTATCTGAATTTTGTAAATCTGTAAAGATTCTTTGTTTGTTTGTTTGTTTTTTGTATGATTGGTTTAATCACCGTGAGTATAAACTGACTGACTGAATGACTGACGAGGATGTTTATTCAGTGGTTCTGACTTGACTTGTGACTTGGACCCATTTTTCCAAGTTGCACTTTCAAGTCCTTCATTCTTTTAATGAAGGACACCGTAAACCCAGAAGATGCCTTATGATGCTCACAGAAGATGCAGGAGAGGCAGGCAAAGGGTGGCAAGCGACAAAGGAGGAGAGTGGGTTTTCGAGAAGGTGGGGTGGAGAGGAGAAGGACGACAAGGCAGGGTCAGTGTTGTTGTTGTTTTGTATTGGCTACAACTCAGAGCATGAGGGTGAGATAGTTCACAAGCCTCCAAGTTGCACTTTCAAGTCCTTCATTCTTTTAATGAAGGACACCGTAAACCCAGAAGATGCCTTATGATGCTCACAGAAGATGCAGGAGAGGCATGCAAAGGGTGGCAAGCGACAAAGGAGGAGAGTGGGTTTTCGAGAAGGTGGGGGGGAGAGGAGAGGGACGACAAGGCAGGCTCAGTGTTGATGTTGCTGCTGCTGCTGCTGTTGTTTTGTATTGGCTACAATTCAGAGCATGAGGGTGAGATGGTTCACAAGCCCTAGACCTCCCCACACAGAACCCACCCATCCTTCCCTTGTTTTTCTGGGGGGAAGCTTGTTTTTAATAGGGACTTGGGCTTTGGGCTTGATATCAAAGACTTGGACTTAGGTCTCAGATCCAATGATTTACCAACATCCCTGCTGCCTTCAGTTTCTCTCTCCCTCCAACCTCCTATTTTCTATCTCCCTTTCTTTTATTTTTGCATAGCATAAATTTAAGTACTTATATAAGAGTAACAGGCACATCACAGTACCACAATATGCTACAGAAGGTCAGCATGACTCCACTCTATTTGTTCTGAGGATCTTTTGTTCCCTTTTCTTAATATGCAACAATACTTCTCCTTTTTTTTCTATCTACTTCTAATACACATTTCATCACCCAGGGGTGTTGTTTCATTCGAAAAGCAAGCACTGATTAAACAATATAGCACAAAGGCTCAGACCTTAAAAAGGAAAAGGAAAACATTAATGAACTCACACAGTGAAATAAGTGAATAAGTAAAAATGTGAAGGTTTGAAAAGAGTGGACAGGTAGAGAATTGAGTAGGTAGGATGAGGCTAAAGAGACAGGCAAACAGAGCAGGGTGATCCAGATGTTGGGAGTAAGATTTCAGGGAGCAATTCCAGATGTATGTAGACAGGCAGTACTGGAACAACTCAGTGCATCCATCAACCAACCATGTATGGACACAAATGCCAGGATGACCTATTTAGATCTGTTGCAAAAAACAGCAGAATGACCCAAAACAGCCTCAGAAGAGACAACATTCTATATTCCTGAATAGTTATCAGAGCCACTCAACTCCAGCTTCTGTTTGGGGTAGGTGGGGTGTTGGGGTGTGCAGGGAATGTTCAAACTCTTACCTTAAGCTGTATCATTATGAGGATTGTCCTTGCTTTCTCTTCTCTTTTTCAATTCTTATTAAAATCATTCCAGACAGCAAAAAAAGTTTGATTTTCATTAGTGACTTTATTCAATTTTCAAAGAGTTGTTATAGGTTTGGGCTGGTAAATACTACAAAAACAGAGTAGGTTACTAACATTTCAAATATAAGTAGAAACAATACCTTTTCCAGACAGCACAATCCTATGCTAGACTCACAAAACACAATAGGGCATATTTCTGTGGGTTTTTAAAATCAGCAATTGCTTGAATTTTATTAAAAAGCATTTACTCAAAATCCAAATATTGCTTATTTCTGTTTCTTCTTAACCAAGAAGATTGTTAATCAATCTTCAGCAGCAATGCAATGGTTGCACTATTCTGTCTCATCAGTTTCCACTGACAGCATGCTGTTCAGTGGGCAAAATCAGGTCTACCTATCCTGCAGAGACCTCTCCTTATATATAGATTTGCCATCCCTACATACAGATTTGCCATCTATGTACAGTGTACATAGGCCGTGCACATGCTGAATGTTATGGGTGAATAGCTTTTCAGAGAAGTAGCCATGTTCATCTGTTTCAACAAAAGCAAAAAACAAAATATGATGACACCTTTAAGACTAACATTTATTTCATTAGGAGTTTTCATGGATCTACTTTTTCAGAGTGGGCAAAATCAGGTCTACCTATCCTGCAGAGACCTCTCCTTATATATAGATTTGCCATCCCTACATACAGATTTGCCATCTATGTACAGTGTACATAGGCCGTGCACATGCTGAATGTTATGGGTGAATAGCTTTTCAGAGAAGTAGCCATGTTCATCTGTTTCAACAAAAGCAAAAAACAAAATATGATGACACCTTTAAGACTAACATTTATTTCATTAGGAGTTTTCATGGATCTACTTTTTCAGATGCATGAAATGCAATATCTAGGCTACGGAAATATGTACATAGTGTGGGCATAGTGTGGGCATCGAAGTTGGATCAGTCTAGACCAGAGTTTAGGCTATTTCATGTTATTTACAAAACCAGATCCTGTAACTGTATTTTAAAAAAACAAGGCATATCCCACAATCCTGCAGTTTGCTCATCCCTGCTATGGGCCATCAGCCACTGATCCAAGCAGTAATCCCTCAAAGATATCCTTCTGAGATTTGTTCACCTAGTAGTTTTGTAGTCATCATAAAATGATGCTTACAACCATCGTCTGAAGAAGGACACCATAGCTGGTGATATCAAATACCACTGAAAGGTCCAGAAAAATCCAAGAGACACCCAAACCATCTGTCCATTTCGCAGCATAATTTGTCAGTCATAGAGTCTAAAACTGGATCTGAAACTAGACTGGTAAAAAAATCCCGAGACTAGCAAACAAGATAGTAGCCCCACACCAATGGTATGCCATATAATAGAATAAAAGCAGAAACACAGAGAGAAACAAACAAACTGCAGGCATTTTGTCCATTTCTCTGTTAACTGGCTGGTTTATTTTTCTTCTCAAATACATCAAGTGAGAGCCAAAGTTGGACAAGAATAATTCAGAATCAGTTTTGACATTGTACTCAACTGCTTGGGCTCCTAGTGTGTAGCGAGTTTACGAGACACTCCGTGACTTCTACTTTTCAGGATAACAATATGTATGAGGTGTTAACATGAAGAGGCTCAATGTCAGGTCTTGTCTGGAGGTTTCATTCTTTGGGTTTTCATTTCCATCGTATTGCAAATAGACTTCATCACTGGAACGAAACTCATGCACAATTGTTTCTTGCACCTCCGTTTTCTGGTCACTGCAATTTATACTCAGGAAAGAATCTTGAGGGTCACGATAAACCCTGAGTATCAGTGGGGCCTTTGCTCCCTGCAGGGAGATGGTCCCCTCCAGGAAGAACAAGTAGAAACCATCACAGCGGATTGGAATGGAGTCTTTCAAAACGTTGATTTCCATCGTGCCAGCTTTCCTTCTAATGCCAATGGGTTTCTTGTAGACAATGGAATGATCTGGAGTGCAAGAAATTCACCGCACCCCCAAAAAAGAAAGAAAGCATCAATATGTCAGTGCCCAAATGGGAATGCTCTTTCAACAACATCAGTGACTATTCAGGTCATATTTGAAGGGCAAAGGGTTAAATTTGTAAAGGAAGTAGAAAGTGGAAAGGTCTATAAAAGAAGAAAACAAAGGACCCCAGCGGGAGCTTGTGCAGAATGCTAAATTTGTCACTCAGTGTTTGTTGATGGTGCAAATAACTGCAGCTGGCAACTTGGGCAGAGCTGTGATTCAGATGCATCGCCTTGGTGAATGTATTCTCCCCCTCACCAACCATCTCCCCTACTGCCTGCATTTTCAGCGATCATATGAAATATCCAAAGCTTGGGTGCTTAATGGCATTCTTTTTGTATTTTGTAAGAGTACTTTTTAAAAAGTTTTCTGGTTTCATTAAGAGTTGAAATCATAGTAACAAAATATCTACTTACAGTCATTGCAAACTTAGTTCTGTACTAAGGCCAGAAACAGACATTAGAAATAATCTAGAACAGGAAAATCCTTAAATAATGTAAAACATCTGCCATTTAGCTTGGTTTAGCTTGGACTTTTGAATTCTAAATTCACAAACTGGAAAAGACTGCCTTAACCAATATCAGCACCATCAATTTTGAACCATATTACTGAGCTTTCAGGTTTAATTGCAGGCTATCTCTAACCTCTGTTACCTCAGACCAGATAATACTCATTCAGTTAGAGAGAAATCCCACAGACATCAACATTCATACAAGTATCTACCCCAACTGCTGACAAAGATGAAGAAAGCAATAAAAACAGATATGTAAAACTTAACACGCTAAAAAGATCATACATACAAAGAAGCAACAACTAAATTCCATAAACAGGATTTTTAATCCTAAAGCGGGCAAAGGAATTTCCAGAGATTTTATTGGTCAGTTCGGGTTTGGAGGTGTTTAGATCCTGAAGCCTCGGCAGGTCTGCAGACCAAGCACCTCCATCTGAAGCAGCTGGCTTTTTTTAGAGGTCAGGTTAATTAACTGTTGCTCAAGACTGTCCAGGGTTAAGTGGTGGCACTGCTCACCAGCTTTGATCCCTCTATGCATAAATACTGTATGTCTGTTTATCTGTGTGTAAAATAGGGACCTGATAAATGAATTAATCAGTTACTCCACAGAAGAACAACCTATTATAAATGACTGACACTGATATGATAGTAAAGTTGATACCAGCTATGGTTGATACCACCTAATGCTCTCTCTCTCTCTCTCTCTCTCTCTCTTAAAGAGAGAGCATTCCCTATTTGGGATGACACCATGGAGAAGATCAAACCAGGAAGGCAGTGGGACAATGAAAAAGAGCAGAAGTGTCTTAGCAAGAGAGGGACCATTTTAAACTAAATGCCACCCACTTTTGGAATAGGATAGGACATGCAGTGGTACCTCGCTTTACGATTGCACTGCATTATGAAGAAACCGCATTACGGCGATCTTTTTGCGATCGCAAAACGATGGTCTAAATAGGGGTTTTTCACTTTGCGATGATCGGTTCCCTGCTTTGGGAATCAATTCTTCGCAAAACAACAATTTTTGGACAGCTGATTGGTGGTTTCAAAATGGCTGCCGGGTAAATAAAATGGCTCCCTGCTGTTTTCTGGGACAGATTCCTTGCAAGATGGCCACCGAAAGTGGCGCCCTATGGAGGATCTTCGCTGGACGGTGAGTTTCCAGCCCATTGGAATGCATTGAAGGGGCTTCAATGTGTTTCAATGGGCTTTTTATTTTCGCATTATGACGTTTTCGTTCTACAGCGATTTCACTGGAACGAATTAACGTCGTAATGCGAGGCACCACTGTACATGGAAAATGTAAGACAAGAAATAAACATGGATAACTCACTGGGCTTGATGAAGATCCACTGTGTCTCTGGACCTGGACCCTGAAATAAAATGAAACAAAATAATATATTATGGAAAGTATCTACATGGTCAGGAGGTAAGTGTCAAGCTCAAACAGGAAAGACAAAATGGAACAATGGCAGCCCACATAATATGGATCCTGTTGCATGGAAAGTTTTAACAGATAGGTCTCAGTTGCAGTAATTTAATGCAAGTGAATGGCTCCCTTGCCTGAACACACCATAGTTGCCAGGAGCAAAGGCCTATTTAGAGAAGATACAGAGAATAATGAGACCATAACACTAATGATAAGACTCACAGCAGTTTAAAATGATGGGCGTTGTTCACTCAGAATATATAGTGGTCTACAGGCTTGGGGTCTAGAACAGAAACCAGCTCTTCTCACACAATAAAGAATTTCATAGAATGGATCTGTAACTTCAGTACTATCACATACAGCTCTATAATAACTCTTCTGCTGATGTATGTGGACTGTATGGTACAATGTCAAGCCTTTGTCTTGAAACTTGACAGTCATTTATGTTTTACCCTACAAGACTGTTTTCTTGGACTGACTAGATAGCTCAGTGAATTAAGCATCTGGCTGGGGAGTCAAAGCTTGGGGTTTCAATTCCCCACCATGCGTTCCAGAAGAGCCAGGCTGTGTGGCCTTGAGCAAGCTGTACAGGCCCACAGAAGGGACTGGTAGGCCACTTCTCAGAACTTTTTAACCTAGAAAACTCTGAAAATGGTTGCCATAAGTCAGAATTGACTTGATGGCACAATATTATATAGTTAATATTGCAATAAAGAACTGAAGACCCTTTTCCAATACAAATTCTCACATGTTGGCTATTTGATGCCAAGGCCTTCCTGGACTTCCTGGACTAACCTTCCTGGAATTCAGAAAGGCCTCTCTTGGTCAGTCACCTTTAGTACCTTTAGTGGCCCTTGCAGAAAGTCTACAGACAAACGATCACCAACTACTTATAACACCACTATGTTTTTTTTAAACATCAAAATAATTGGAACACTTCTTTATTTCAGAACTCTTTCCCATGGAACACCCACCATCAAAATGTCACCATCCTGGCCAATTTGGGCCAGGCCTTACACTAGACAAAGTAAGATAGCAGCCTCAGGCAGCAGATTTTGAAAAGACATCCTATTCTTAATTATCAGTTTCTTTTTATGGTAGGTATTGGATGTGGCATTGCCATCCTCCTACATTCCATTCAGCCTGAAATTGCTACCTTTCTTTTATGAATTAATTGCCAGTGAATATGATAGGAATGAGACAAAACCTTTTTCATATTGCATAGTTAAAGCAGAAGGTTGCCTAATACAGTGGTGCCTTGCTTCACAACGATAATCCGTTCCAGCAAAATTGCTGTAGAGCGAAATCGTTGTGAAGCAAAAAAACAAACAAACATTGGAATGCATTGAAAACCGGTCAGTGCGTTCCAGTGGGGGAAATACCTGCACGAAATGCGAAGATCCTCCATAGGGCGGCTATTTTCCAGTACCTGTCTTGTGAAATGAGGTCTGGGAAATAGGGCGGCCATTTTCCAGTACCTGTCTTGCGAAATGAGGTCTAGGAAACAGTGGGTGGCCATTTTGAGAGCTGCCAACCAGCTGTTTCTAAATCATCGTGTAGCAAAAAATCGGTTCTCGAAGCGGGGAACCGATCATCTAAACATAATTTTGTGATTCGAAAAACCCATCGTCAAGTGAAAAAAACGTCATGCGGAGTAAGCGTCTAGCGAGGCACCACTGTATAAGAGAAAACCGATCATCTAAACATAATTTTGTGATTGCGAAAAACTCATCGTCAAGTGAAAAAACATCATGCGGAGTAAGCGTATAGCGAGGCACCACTGTATAAGAGAGTTACAAGTTAGAAACTCTTTCTAACACTGGCATTTTGAATCTTTTAGCCTTCTCATCAGTATGTTCAGGAAATGCATGGAAACTCAAAAAGATTCCTGTTGTGTGAGATCATGAGCTGGATTGTGCTATCTGACTGCACAACTGGCATATTATCATACCACTGTGGAAACTTCACATACTGAACAGGATATTGCCCTAAAGAGGCAAAGAGTTAGAGATACTGCAACTCACAGAAACAATTCAGCTATTAAAAGGAGACTGTGATAATTGAGAATAAATAAGTAACTTACTCAAATAAGAGGAACATGTAAGATTACCAGACAAAAATACACCAATTAGTAGATCAACATTTTAAAAAACTACATGCCTGCTTTCAAACATAACTGCTTGCGTTCTTAATTTCAAAGCAAACAAGGTGAGTGAAGCCATACATGCACGCTGGATTTTAGGAATGTCAGTTTTAATAAACTCAGAACAACAAGGCATCATGGCAGAAGACAAGAAAAGGCATCCAAGATGGGTGGGAGTTTCTAAAAAGAATAATTCTAAAGGAAACGCTGTAAACAATTCCAACAAGAAAAAAAGGTGGAAGACAGCAAAAAAAGACCGATGTGGCTTCACAAAAATAAAAAGGACACATACATGAAGTGGAGGGCTGCAAAGGAATAGTGCAGACAGGTAGCAAAGAATTAAAGGTAAAGGTAAAGCTTCCCCTTGACAATTTTTGTCCAGTCATGTTCGACTCTAGGGGGCGGTGCTCATCCCCGTTTCCAAGCCATAGAGCCAGTGTTTTGTCAGAAGACAATCTTCCGTGGTCACATGGCCAGTGCGACTTAGACACGGAACGCTGTTACCTTCCCACCGAGGTGGTCCCTATTGATCTACTTGCATTTGCATGCTTTCGAACCGCTAGGTTGGTGGGAGCTGGGACAAGCGACGGGAGCTCACTCCATCGCGTGGATTCGATCTTATGACTGCTGGTCTTCTGACCCTGCAGCACAGGCTTCTGCGGTTTAGCCCGCAGCGCCATCACGTCCCTAGCAAAGAATTGCAGGGATGCAAAAGCTGTGAATGAGCTGAGGTTACAAGAGATGCTAAAAACAGCAAAAAAAGAGAGCCATGTTTCAGCTGAATATTAGGAAAACCTTCCTGCTAAAGCAGTACAACAATGGAATCCATGACCTCAGATGATGATCAGCACTCTAGTGCTGGAGGCATTCAAGGAGAAATTAGGCAACCATCTGTTTATATATATTGATTTGGATTCCTGCATTGATGAGTAGGATGGACTTATATCCCCTTCATTAGTCTATAATTCTATGATAATGGCCAAAATCCTGTTGTTTAGCATAGTAAATTGCACTAGAGTAGGTTCACTGAATCAATGACACTTTAGTGGGTCAACTCCTCCATAGGTTCCATTGATTCAATGATTTCAATTCCTATGGCCAGATCTCTCCCTTAATGTTGAAGATTTTGAGTGTGCTCACTGAGCCATTGGCCCAAGACTTCAAGATACAAAAAAACGCCAGAGATGTCATGATCTGCTTCACGCAATTTACAAAGAAAGAAATCCTTAGATTGGTCAGAGTTACTAAAGATCTTTATTAGAATGATTGCAAAATACTGTACCAATATTACAATATCTGGCCACAGAAACACTCCAAAGTCAGAGGGCAGTTTGCCTGTTCACCATACATCTTCAGGAAGAATGCATACACATGGGGCTTTTCTTTCCATTTATATATACAGTAATAGAAAACGGAGGGCTGTTATCATCTTTTAAGCTGGAAACGATGGTCCTATTTCAAGAGTTTAAGAAAGACTTACCAGAAGGGATAAAAGATGGCTCCACTGTATCAGCAGAAGAAGGGGAGCTAATAAATGCGAGCAACAACCAGAATCAGGTTTGCCTCTAAGAAGGCATCATTTGTACAATGTGCTTTGTGAACATGCCCAGGCAAGAAAATATGAGTCATAACTGACATGTTTAAGTTCTGATTTTCTTTAATTGTTTTGTAAAGGCATATATGGCATTTATGGAATATGCTTAATGTCCGAAGTTTGACATCTTGACTTACAAAAAATATTTAACACTAAACGTTTCCTCCAGGACAAGGAAAGTAAAAAAATAATCGACCATGGAAGTACAGATCCACCAATATCTATAAGCCTGGGGGTGGCAGTCTTATTTACACAATACTAAACACATGTAATTGATAATAACCCTGCCTCCGGGCTATACAATGGTTGTGAAATAGGGTTAGAACTTAACTGATAGTTTGTTTTAAACAGTTAGAAGCAGCTTGGAAGTTTGCAAAATGGAAGTATTGTAATAGAGGATGTTTTAATATAGATTAAAAATATTGTGTGAATTAGCAAATGGTCTGAGTTGGGAAACATGGGGAGGGTTAGGGGATTTCATGTGACAATTTAAAAACTGTACAACTGAAAGGGGGAGGCAGGATACCTAAGTTCTTATATGCCGTTCTTACATTAACCCTCAATGTGAAAAAAATGGGCAATGCAATATAAAAGGTGCCTCTCTTTTGGGCCATTAAGAAATCTAATCCATCAGTACTATTTTTAAAAGAAACACACAAGGTGACCCAAAAGGACATCATCATAATCCCGGATAACATCTGGCAAAGGGATCAACAAAAGGGAGATGGGTGGCTATCCCATCACACTCTAATTCTGAATTAAAATTGCTTAAAATTCACAAGATCCTAAAGTGAAGGCGCCTATAATGGAACTATTCCACTTTGGTAGCCCAAATTTATAATCCTAATAAAGGCCAGTTATTATTTCTCCATAAGACGTTTAGGACTTCCAGTTTGATGTTGTGACAATACCTGCTTGCTTGTGGCTTGTCCAAGTCATCAGCTGCTGGACAAGTAACCACTAAGTTCTGGATGTTTTATATCGCATTATCAACTTGTGTGAGAATATTTTTCTTCTTGTTTTACTAATTCTATCAACACTCCCAGCCAAAATAACCCCTTAAAAGAAAAGAAGAACTCTAAGCCATCCCCTAGCTGGAGAAAGGAAAGTGACAGCAAAATAAAACAAAGGAGCATCTTGCTGCTCCCAAGGGCTCACCACCTAAGGAGACAACAGCAATAATCTATCCCACAGGATATTAATTTGC